ATAAAAACAGCATAAGCAATTTTAGTATCATTAGACAAATTATTAGATAAAGAAGAGAGAAGATTGCTGGGTAACTGAATGGAGCCAGTTTGTGGAAAGACCATGTTACTTCCAAATGATAGATCATCTAAGCTGATATTTTGTGCAGCAAAATAACCAGTATTTACACTAAATGCTTGACTTGATTCATCTAGCTCTTCAAGGTCAATTTGCTGGACTAAAACTGCAAATGAATTCTGTGTGATGACTACAGGCTCTGAAGAATTAGTGATAGTAATGTCACCAACTACATTCTCTACAGCATCTAATATCCTATTATAAAAAATTGTACAGTAAAACAGTTCACCAAATGCATAAAGTATAACCTTGAAGAGGTGTTAGATGATTCCTGACTTTCTTGTAGAACTTTCTGATTCACAACTAAAATGTTATCAACAGTATCAAGAAAAGTTGTCGTTAACTAAAAATACCAATCATCAGAAAGAGACATATATCCTTATCCTTACTGTTATATCTCCTTCAAGCTCACCGGTAGCAGAAACTAACACACTTACACTTGCAGCTACTTCAGTAGGTCCTAGTGCACTGCTGTCACTAGTTAATGTCTCAAGCTCTCTGACCCTTTCTCCAACTGGTAGCTATATATTGTAAATGAATAAAAACTTAATGTAAACATTGTCAAATCATTAGTGAAATTAATAATTAATTTTGTGCTTTTTAATTAATTAATTTAATTTTATATTTAATTTTAATTTAATTTAATTTTTTACACTTAATTTTTTTGTGCTATAGTCCATGGTTTTTTCTAAAAAATGGCTCCAAAATCACCACAAATTTTTATTACATTTTCCAATACATATTGATGCCCTTATGCTGTGTAAAAAATTTGAGCTGATTCCGACTTGACTTTTTCAAGTTACGACCATTTTAAGAAAACTTCAAAAATCTAAAAAATACCCAAAGTTATAGTCCACGGTTTTTTCCATAAAATGACTCCAAAATCACCCCAAATTTTTATTATATTTTCTGATACATATTGATGCCCTTATGTCGTGCCGAAAGTTCCAGTTGATTCCGACTTCAATTTTTAAAGTTATGGCCATTTTTAAAAAGCATCAAAAATCTGAAAAATACCCAATGCTATATAGCCCATGGTTTTTTGAAAAAATGGCCAAAAAATTACTCCAAATTTTTATTACATTTTCTGATACATATTGATGCCCTTATGCTGTGTTAAAAGTTTGAGCTGATTCTGACTTCACTTTTTTAAGTTACGGCCATTTTAAGAAAACTTTAAAATTCTGAAAAATACCCAAGGCTATAGTCCACGGTTTTTTCCATAAAATGACTCCAAAATCACCCCCAAATTTTTATTATATTTTCTGATACATATTGATGCCCTTATGCCGTGCAAAAAGTTCCAGTTGATTTCGACTTCAATTTTTTAAGTTACGGCCATTTTTAAAAAGCATAAAAAATCTGAAAAATACCCAAGGCTATTATAGCCCATGGTTTTTTGAAAAAATGGCCAAAAAATCACTCCAAATTTTTATTACATTTTCTGATACATTTTGATGCCCTTATGCTTTGTAGAAAGTTTGAGGTGATTCTGACTTTACTGTTTCAAGTTATGGCCACTTTAAGAAAACATCAAAAATCTGAAAAATACTGAAGGATATTATAGTCCATGGTTTTTTCTAAAAAATGGCTCCAAAATCACCATAAATTTTATTACATTTTGTAATACATATTGATGCCCTTTTATGCCATGTAGAAAGTTCCAGTTAATTCCGACTTCAATTTCTCAAATTATGGCCATTTTTAAAAAACATCAAAAATCTGACAAATACCCAAGGCTATATAGCCCATGGTTTTTGAAAAAATGGCCAAAAAATCACTCCAAATTTTTATTACATTTTCCGATACATATTGATGCCCTTATGCTGTGTAAAAAGTTTGAGTTGATTCCGACTTCACTATGGCCATTTTAAGAAAACTTTAAAAATCTGAAAAATACCCAAGGCTATAATAGTCCATGATTTGTTCTGAAGAATGGCTCCGAAATCATCACAAATTTTTATTACATTTTCTTATACATATTGATGTCTTTATGCTGTGTAGAAAGTTTGAGCTAATTCAGACTTCACTTTTTCAAGTTACAGCCATTTTAAGAAAACGTCAACAATCTGAAAAATACCCAATGACTTACATCTTTTAGACGGCATATAGCCCTAGCTAAGTCACTGAAATTGCATCTCATTACATCAGGTGCATCCCAAACTGCTCCATTAGTAAAATCACCTCCACAATAACGTGTAGCTTGTAGCTTACCACCACCTGATGTGCCATTAGTACCACATGGACAATCAACCACTGCTAGTACACCAATATTAGTTTCAGGCCAAACAATAGTGATGGTAAGGTTTGGGTTACCAGAATGAGAAGGAATGATGGTAAAACTTGAAGGACAGCCATCTATAGCACATAATAAAATAAATTTAAAGAATTTTGTAATGGCATTACTTTACCATATCTCTCAACAGCAGTGACAGATATTTGAATAGATAATTTCTGACCAAGTGAATCCAATACATGCCTAACACTGCTTAATAGCATTTTGTCACCTTGAACTTTTTGCGTTATCAAAGTTAATGCCACTAGTAAACTATATGTATCATTATTTGTACTAAGAGAAAGGAAAGAAACTGAATTATTGGGCATGCACATACTTCATTTATTTTACCTAGGGCTTATAAGTTCATCATAA